ACTTGTACTACGAACAAATTACTCACACAAAGTTTTTTATTAATTTGAATAAATTTAATAATATCGATAAAACAATTGTTCGAAAAATTGAAAAACTCAACAATGCGGAAAATGCGGTGATATTTCTTAATGACTATATATATATATATATATATATATATATATAAACAGGAAATTTAATATCACAATCAGTCCTAATATTTTGAACATATTTGTCTGTATTAAACTGTTAATTAGTATTGACTTATTTAGGCAGAGCTAAAAGCAGTATAAACACTTACTTTCAACTGTTCTTCATACGGTTTATTCCACAAAGGTGTTACTATATTTTTCAATCTTAAAATCAAACAAATTATAAAAAATTAAATTTAACATAATAAGGTTATGAAAAATTATGATTACCAAGATAAACTTTACTATCACCAGAGCAGTCATCTTATCACCAACCACCATTAATCATTACCAATGCATTAGAACATAATCGATCTTGATAGAGAGCAATAGAAAGCAGCAACAAAACATGACAAGGTTGACATATCAATGCACGTCAGCACTTTAACACACTTCCTTATCAAGTGAGAAGGGTTAGCAAATTAGAGCATACTCAATGATCAAAAACTGCGCGTCAGCATGTTGCACATCCTCTACTTTTAAAAACTCTTTCCAGTTCTCTTCAGCTTGCTTTTTACGTTAACAAAATCAAAAGCTCAATGTCCTTAAAACATGAATGCTTCATTTGCTGGTTGCCTCACAAATTCTTTTATCCTCTTCAATTCTCCTTGATTTCTTTAATATCAAATTTTGATTCAACGAAATGCACATCTAACAAATTTTGGGAGTTTTTACATAATTTAGGATTTAGACAAGCTAGATTTAAAAAATGGTACTGATTTGCAATTCAAATGGTCACTCACCAGCAAATTATGTAAGCTTACTAAAATGCATATAATATTTTTCAAATGAAAATATGATTTCAAAATTATTTAAAAATAATTAATTTAAAAATAATTATTTTCAAAATAATTAATTTCTAAATTTACTTGTCAGTGTCAGATAAAAAACTCTCAACACGTTGCTTTTTAGCATCATTTTTAGCTTCAACATTCTCTTGAATAAAAAGAATAAAAGCAATTAATATTTTTATTCACAGACTGTTTGTTGAATGTTGCAAAATAAGAAGCGAAAATAACCATTGTGCAACAACTTTCGCTTCATGACGAGTGGGTCTGCACTGGCAGCCGCAGCCTGGGAACGTCATTTAAAAATAAATCATAAAACAAATAGCAACAATTTTACGGAAAGTTGAAAAGTTATTAAGTCTAGAAATATAAAAAAGCATAACAAACTTTAACTTCAATGCTTTTGTTTTTCCACACATAACCTTGCAAAAGATTGACTGCCGAGTTTTTATCTTCACTGGACCTGCAAGGCAACACAATTACGAAATAATGAAAGCTGCTATGATGATTCCAAGCAAATATACTACCTGAAGGTAACGTAAGCATAATTTCCAAGATCAACACTTTTAATTTTCAAGGGCTTCAATTTCAAATGCACCAATTTCTTTCGAAGTTGCTTGATAACAAAGTATAAGATAATAATACATCACTTTTTGAAACATATATATTAATTTCATTAAACAAAAAAAATCACAAGTCATCACTTGTAACTTGTAGCATAAATTTGAGATATTTTTTGATGATCAAAATCAAAACAATCAGTGGTTGACAATAAAATTCTTTTTAATGATGTAATTACATTTTGCAGACGTAGATGCCCTAACTTATTATAAAGACACATAAGCATGGCAAACATTTTACTGGCTGCTATTACTTAATGGCATGGTTTGAATAACAGTTTTTGAATGTAATGAACATCACCGCCAAGATTAGAGACATGCTTAAAATTTACTCGAAGAGGGTGAAGCAGGGTGTTCTATATATGAAACACCATAATAAATATACAGGCATAATCTAATTTATGTCTTGTGTCTGGCTGTCTGCATGAAGATAAATAAATGTATGTATGAATAAGTTTGGATGCCATATAGTGTTATGTACACATAGTATTAAGTATTATAACTAATAATAATTAATTCAAACATAAATGCCTCAATAAAGTAGTGAACTTTTGAGGCACGGTAGAAACTTTTCCCTCTTTATACACTAAAAATTGCTGTCACCAGCCTAGACAGTCTCACTTCTGGTCGTGACTTGCAATGAGTATATTATTTTCAAGTTGGATAAAAAAATCTGACTCCAACATAAATCGCCAAGTCTGACCCCTTAAAAATTCTGACTCTGACTCAAATCTTTGACTCTAAAATTCTGCTCAAATCTACCAACCATACTCTCAACCAATAAAATATGCAACCAACTCACACTCAAAAAAATCTCACACTTATTTTTGCAACATTCAATTATTATCATCATATAACATTGCCTTCTATATTTATTGTTTATTGCTACATTTAAACTTTTCACAAATTTAACTAATATGTTACTATTCATAATTTTGTATTTTATTTTTGAACCTTTTAAATTTATTCATAAATTTATTTTATTTCAATTTTTTTTGTGTAACATTTTTTTTATTTAGCATTCTCTATCATATATTTAATAACATCTAATATCTCACTGTCAATATTAATTTTAAAAGTGTTTTTAACACTTTGGACTCCAACAATGGCATTAGTCTGGTTTTGATAATAAGCCAAATGAAAGATAATAAATAGTACCCATATTTTAAGATGACAAAAAAATTGTGCAAAATTCAATAACAGTAATTTATTTAGCATGTAAATGACAAAATTAATGATTTAAAAATTTAATGAGATGCTTTTTTAGTTAAGTTATTTAGTATCCCTATTGGTGGAACGATGGTGTAATAGTTAATTATTAATGTCAAGCCCCTCTTATCACATCCAAAAGTGTGAGGGGCATTGATTCACATGTCAAATATTGATTCACATGTAAAAATTTAAACACTGTGTTTGTCGTAATAACCTCTCTAATCTAAAAAAGAATACCTAAGAAGAAAAGAAATAATATCAATTGAATAATCATAATATAATCATAATAATAAGTAGAAAGATGACCTAAAAAGTTATTTATGAATAAAATACATCAACGATTAAATTAATTAATATTAAATGAACGAAATGAATTAAGTAATAAAGTAAATTAAATTAAAAATTTAAAAACAATTAGATTAGTAGTTAGATGCTTTTTTTAAATTTTAAAAAAGAAAAAAAATACCGATATGCTAAAATGGGCTGGAAGATTTGTAACCAAAATTTTGAACTTCTCCGATGAAAAGTCACCTCTATCCAAGTACGCATAAGGGTTTAAATCGCCGGCAGGTTCAGATTTTTCCGTCATTTTTAGTTCAAGAGAGAAAAGTGAACCTCGAATTGACGACTATGAAAACAGTAAAGGCTGCTAAATATACGAGTAATATGGAAAGTCAGTTTATTTTGACAACTAATAAATTTTTACAAATTAGCGTGCTGCCACGGAATTTTTTACTTTAGAACTAACTTAAAAAATTTACTTCAAATAATAATCAGAAAACTTTTGTTGCTATATAACATTGAATTATTTTTTAAAACCTTATTATTGCGGCTCCAACATATATATTATCTATAATTTTTGCGATCAATCAATCCAATCAATCAATATACAAAGCGCGATTTCCGCGATGTTCAACAGCTCTCCTCAATGAATTTTGCAAACAGATGGATCTTGAGATATCTGAACTTTGTAAACGATGGAGAAGTAGTCAGAGAAGGATGTAGAGAGTTCCAGAAAAAATGGCCAGAAAAAGCAAATGCAGATTTTGCAAAAGTGTTTAACACGGGTTAAGAAGTGAAAACAAGAAAACGATTGCAAACCGGGGCGTTTAGGTTATGTTCTTCATACCTTCATCCATTTGAAGCAGCCATGTTCGCCACAAAGGCTGTTTAACCTTTTCACACGACGTACACATGTATTTATGTGCACGCGCAAGCATCGCATCATATACGCTGAGTATATAATATACGCTGAGTATATAATATACGCTGAGTATATGATAGCCACTGGAATGTTTGACTCAACGCGCATTTAAACTACTAAGCCATCTCTCCGGCCAACATATATTTTTATATCTCATATTCATATTTATATAAAACACATATCGGAAATCAACAAGCGTTCTCCAATGAATTCGAGTTTAAATTGTAACTATAGGTATATACCTAAATATATAACGAATATAAGTTGACAAACACTATTAAATTAGTGGAATTTATTACATATTGCTAAGTATATACCTAAATATTTTCTAAGTATAATATGTGCGTTGTACAAAATAATAAACTGCTGTGTTTTTTACGACTTATTAATATGGCACACTTGTAAAATGTAACTCCCGAAAACATCTTTACGTTAATTAGAATGTATACAAAAAATAATAGAAAAAGTTCATGACCAAGAAAATTTAAACTTCTAACAGTTTAATAAAAAATTGTTTATTCACAGATTCTAAAGTTTAAGTCAAGAGCAAGAGTGGGCAAACTTTTTGCTGTGAGGGCCGCATTGAGAACTATTTTACCTTTCAAGGCCCGTATATGTACTTAAATAGCAAATTTTTTCAACCCGGGACGAAATTTGTTTAAGATTTGTGACGACCTTTTATTTCGAACAAGGCCTCGCGGGCCACAGAAAATAGCATCGTGGGCCGTAGTTTGCCCATCCCTGATTTAAGTGAAAACTTTTACACGGTATATATAACAATTTAAGGAATTTTCTATACCTTAACTGTGTGCTCATAATTTATATATCTCAATATATACGGAATATTTAAAGAAATCTCAGCACCCATGACAATCAACTACTAATAATCAAGATAAATGTTCACGAATGACTGTCCGCCGTCTTTTGCGAGTAGCTTAATTAGCGATTCGTTAACTTCGATTTTAAACAAAAAAATTTTAGACTGAAATTTTTTTTAAACAACAATTTCAAATTAGCATTTATTTCTACATTAATACATTTTGAAATTAATAAATTAAAGGTTTGTTTAATGTACGATAAACTATTATTATTACACAATATAAAAATTTTATTCTAAACTTTCAATAAAATTTTTAATCACAAATGTTGTTAACACCTATAAAAAAGAGTGTATGCCAAATTTACCAGAGATGGGTCTCCCGAATTTCACTTATTATCTGTCCTGCTTTCTGGAGAGCCTGGTGCAAAATTAAAATATTTGTAAAACTTTATTTAAAAAATCATGGCTTCAGTTATGAACTTTAATTTTAATTTGTTTAACTTTTATATTAAAAAAATCTTATTCAAAGTGATCATTATTTTTGTCGTTTTAGAATTAGTGACATTTCTTTGTATGACTGCAGCAGTAACAGCAGATCCTCCTTGTTAGTCTAGTTATATTCTTGTTCCTAATCTTTCTTTTATATTCAAAGATTTGAGAAAGTTTTCTATCAGAAAGTCTTTTTTACCGTAACATTAATTATTTACTTTCATGTACTCAATCTGTTTTTCTGTTTTCAGAAACACCTCTTCCCAAAATATATCTATGCTTTGCATGCCAACAGGTTAAATTTACTTCGTGGAATAGATTATTCTTGTCTTTGACAATATCCTCTTTGACCTTCTGGAATCTGTCTTCTCTTTAAAATTTTTGGCACTTTCATTGTCTGGTTTAATTGAACAATCGTTGTTCAAAAAACATCCAATCCAAGTCATCCTTGGACCATTTCAGTCCATTCTTCGTTGGCCGTTTTCTTATTTTAGTATAATTTAGTTTATAATTTATAATTTGTACTAAAATAATATTTTAGTACAAATACTCTGTATTTGAAGTGAAAAATCTTACAACACAATTAAAATAAAACAAAAGTAGTTATACAGTAAAAATCTATATATAATATTGTATTATATATTAGTTATATATATATATAATATTGTATTATATATTAGTTATATATATATATATATATATATATACATATATACAGTGGCGGATCCCGGGAGCTGTCTTTTAATAAAAGTCAGAAAAAGAACCTTTTTATGTATAAAATCGACCAAAAAAGGTCGTGAAAATTTAAACAATTTCAAAATTCTAGTCACACACACACAAAAATATATATATAAATATATATATATATATATATAATAGAGAGAGAAGAGAGAGGGATAATGAGTGAGAGGAGCAAAGCTGCATATTAGCCGCAATGGCTAAAAGCAAGTTTTTAATGCATCTCCACATAGAATATTTTACATTTTCTCTTACGAGTATAAGTAGGCTGCTTGGCTTTTGGATGCAAAGATACATTTAAATATATGAAAACACGCATAAATTAATGCACTGTAATTCATATGCAAATCAATTGATTATATATTTCTTATCAATCAGTTAGTTCCCAAAAACAACCTTCAAAGTTTCAGCTGCTTCTCGTCTTCTTGCTGCGATTTGCTCAGATTCTTCCAGTAATTTATCAATTTCTTCTTGTTTATACAAATGACTAACTAACTCACTTTGTAGATTGTCTTTCACATAGTTTACGAGAAAATGCATAATGGCCTTTGGTACACTGTCTTGAATATTTTTTCTCACGATCAAGAAATACGATCTGATCAGTTTTTCTGTCGGTAATTCAAAATTGAAATAATATTTATAAATGCATACACAAGGTCTCCATCTAGATAACATATGAAACATGCATACAATTTAAATAATGGAGCCGGCTGGTAGGAAGTGGCACCTTATTTAAGCTTGCATTCCTCAGAGAGATAGGGAGAGTGATGACATCCTCACTGCTGCTATTGCTTTTAATTTTGTAATATTTTGCAAATCACTGCCGTAATATTATTTATGTATATATTTTTTTTAGAAATTTTTTTTAGAAATTTATTTATATTTGAAAGGTGAGGTCCATTTAAAAACAAATTGCAACTACATGTATAAGAGTAAAAAACATTGAATTACACAAAGAAATAAACTTGTCACTTGATCTGAGCATTTGCGTCGTCACATTCTATTTTAACTGTTGAGGATATCATTTTTTGACAAATTTGGTTTCTGATTTCCGTTAATGAAATCGAACAAAATTTTTGTCTGTCGTCTGTTCAAAGCATCTTAGTTTTGGGTGTAAATGTTTTCAGTTGCTTCAGCCGAGATTTGGAATGCAATGTCAGATTTTAAGTTAATACAAATATCAGCCGATAAGTTTTCATTACTCATTCAATTAGACAAAGCACGACTAGCGAATCCGAAGAAAACTTGATAGAAGCATTCTAAAAATATCTGGATGTATCTTGGGACTCCTTACAACAACTGTAATAGACGAGTGGCGTCAATGGTGCCTTCACTTCCAGTACAGTTTAAAAGAAGAATACAGTATCATTAGAAAATAAAATGGCTAAAATATTTTTTTTTAATACAAGAAATTTATAATTTCTGCAACTTATACTAAGCAAAAATATTTTTAGCCAAAAAGTTTAGATGCGTCGAAGCCTGAGTAGTAAAAAATAGACAAAATTTTTTTAATAAAAAATATGTTTTAGAATGAAAAACAAGCTATTGAGAAAAACAATAGGTGATCCATTTCAATCAAATCCTTTGCCAAGATAACATTTAATCTCGTGTTCAATTACAGATGCTAGCATACCGTCATTTCATGCGTTAATATCAGCTACCTAGTTGATGGTAAGCTCGTAGGACTGAAAGAATTTGAAACAATCGACCACTAGATCTGCGACAGATCGTTTTAGTGATGGACTTTAAAAGGGAACTAAAATCACATTGGTTTAGCAAAGTATTTAATCAATACAATGTCCTCAAGGTAAAACTAAAGAGCGAATAATAATAATTGCGATGTTTTATTAATATCCATTCCGTATACTGGGGTAACATTATATGTATAAAAGTATTTTATACATATTGCTTCATCAATTTTGCTTAGGATTGATTACTGTAATTAGCTCTTCTATGGACTTCACGATTCTACTCAATGTCCTTTAGCACTTTAACACGCTATTAACACTGCTGCTCGTCTGGTCGATTGTGCATTTCCTATTTTTCTCATATATCTCATCATCTTGTTCTTTACACAACCTACCAGTATTTTAATTAATATATGCATGTATAAATCTCAATCTTTCATTTCATTCTTTAAGTGTCTGTTAGAAAATGTAAATAAGAATAAATGACCCGGTATAGAATCGTTTTGAAGTACTCATCTTCAAATTCCAGGTCGACAGTTTACATTTGCTTTTTCTGTAAAAAAAAACTTTACTTTCTGCTGTGACTACTTCTCAGTTCAGAAGGAATGTCAAGACTTTTTTGCAAAATTCAAAATGAGCGCTCACGGACACCACGGAAATAACGTTTTAAAAGATACATATTGATTGGTTGATAGAAACAAAGAAAAATTTTAACCTCACCAATTACGTTACAGTCTCTCTGCTCATGAGCATGCAACTTTCGGCCAAGGGGCATTGAAGGCTGCAACATACATTCATTACATTAGAATCATATTACTCAATTTATAATTTAAATGAATAAATTTGATTAAAAGATAGAAAGATTCGAGGAAGAAATCCGTATTCTACTGCAGTCGAAATAATATATCGGCAAAAAACGAAATATTATCATTATGTTAAATATATTATGTGGGTGAGATTATTACAAATTAATATGTAATGATGAAATGGAAATTAAACTAACTGAATGCAGAAATAGTGAATTAAATGTTTTATGTTTTCTTGCCAATGAGCTATCGAAAAAATATCCATCTCCAATTTAAACAAAAGTTGGAGGTTGCAAGTAAGGACTAGTTTAGCAGAGTTGTGAAAAGAAAGACATCACGAACCAACCAACTAACTCTAACTAGCATTCCAAAAGCAAGAAATTTTAACTCCACGGTTCAAAACAAAAAACAAACACACGTTTAGACGGCATATTCCCCGAGATCGGGGGTTGCCGTTTGGCTACCTATGATGAAACCGAAATACCCCTCGACTCCATCCACATCTGTCACTCGCCTCAGTATCACGCAACCCCGCTTTCACCCTGTCCTTCTCCACCTGCTCTCTCCATCCCAATCGCGGACGACCCCTTCCTACCACTCCTTCAACCTCGAATTCCAACGCTCGCCTAATCCCGACCCTTTCATCCCTTCTCAACACATGTCCATACCACCGCAATCTCGATCTCCTTATCAATGTCACAATGTCCTCATTCAGTCCCATCATTGACATCAGCTCTGTACCACTCCTCCTATCCTTCACTTTAACCCCACACATCATCCTCACCATAGCTCTTTCAGCTCTCTGCAGTACACTTTCCTCCTCTCCTCAACACCCAAGTTTCACCACCATATATCATCGCTGCTCTCACACA